GGGTGGGTGGACAAAAGCAGGAGATAGTTTGAAATCGATGGGGCGATGAGGTAACAATTCAGTTCAATTCACTTTTTATAACTATTCACCATGCACTTTCGTGTGCCGGTTTTGGTTGCTGTCTTTTGGTTTCCAATTTGGATAGAAGAGAATAAGTACGCTTGGAATATTGAGAGAGAACAGTCAAAGGGAAGATAAAGTTCAGAAGGACTGCGGTTGCAAGAATGATGAGCAAATGCACGAACGCCACAGTTTGTGACTCATTCATATCAATCAGCATCTCTAATGACCGGTTACCGATGAAGTAACGCTGATAATGAGGCAGGTGTTGTTTGGGAGTCCATGAAACAGGCGTGAAACTGCCTGCAAATGTTAAGGGATTAAAGAAGTTAGTAGGTGATAAATCGATAAGGGAGGGGCACACTTCTCCGGCTTCTCATAGCCACGATAAAATCGGTGTTCAAATCAGTTGGTGTAGGTTGCATTATTCCAACTTCGTAATCCTAATCGTTGTAGGCACCGCAGATATCGCAATCTTCCCACACATATCGGTGTTATGAATGAAGACCAACAAATTACATAAACGAAGCATAGAGAAGGGCACAGCGGTAAAGTGGTATAGGTGTCTCATCTTCCAGTTCGGTTGGCTGGCATCGAATCCATACCCATGGCCTTCTGGTTTTTATTTATTGTCTTATAAAAGTCCTTGAAGAATTGTGAATGTACAGGCAGGCTCACTTTCTTTTCCTTCTCTCAAAGTAGACCTTAATGTATGTTTCCCTTACACATTCATGCCTGCGCTGTGCATATTGTGCGCTTGACAGCTATCGGCGAAGTTGGCTTCACTGTATAATGGTACTGGTTTTATCATGATGATAGTAGCATCAAATAGCCATGAAATCAACCAAACCAAATGCCTGTTTCCATTCAAAAAAATGTAAACACGTAATTGATACGGTATGAAGCTTATCCTAAGCAGCCTTATTATGATGTGCACTTCGTTCAGTTGAAAAATAAAGTCGAACCAACAACTTGATCCCTATTTTAGTAGTTTTTTTTAAAGCAACACTGTCCTACTGGAACCCTGGTCCGCAAGCAAAGGCCAATGATTTCTCCGGATCGAGAGCAGGTAGCGGAAGAAGTCCAAGTAGGTCTACTGGTCAGCTAAGTGACAAACGTTCCACCCAACGTTTCAAAGGACATTCTTCAGATTGGATTGGTAGCCTTTCCGGTTTCCTAATCTACGGGTCTCCAGGCCGGTAACCTTAATTAGGGGAACAAATCACCAGTACCGTCAGTTCTTTCCCAGAGTTTGCATGAAAATCTTGAGTAATCGGGTCTGCGTTTAGACCGATCTAAAGTAGACTCAAGATTCAAGTAGTTTTCAACAGAAAATCCCAACGCTAGGTGTGGTTTATTGTGCAATGAGTATTACACGAAAACACTTTATCATATTAATTTCCCACGAGTTGAGAGAACCATATGTATTTACATTCCAACCAAGTCCCGGTACCATTCTATCAAAACCATGTGCACCATAGAGCTGCAGTACCAAGTTCAGCGTAGCCTGCTTCACCCGTAGTGGAATATTTTGTGAAGCGTGTTGTGCACACACAACAAGGAAAATGCGTTTTGCAATGCAATAGAAAGTTGTAATTTACGGTTTATTTTTATCCATTTATTGTCGTTTAACATACTTTCAGGGTGGCTTTGTAGTGGTCAGGTTGGTGTGTATATAGTCGAATGAAGACGATACTAAATACTGGTGGTGGCGCAGTGGTTTAGTCGTTGGCACCGGTGTGCTTGGGCCCCTAGTTCTGAAGTTCGGGCCCTGCCACCGGTATCGTTCACTTCAACACCATGCCTAACCAAATGGGACCTTATGTGGTTTGCCATTCCAAGTCCCGGGGCTTAAGTGACTGGTTATATCACTCAATATAGGGTTCACCCTGTCTTCCGTTCACACAAGTGGGTAATAATTAAAATAGCCAATGCACACCCAATTTAAACTACATTTTGGGTTCCACAAGGCGCAAATTTTAGTTGTATTCCTATGCCGTAATTTCGTTTTGATAAAGTGATCCTTTTATTTTCAACGTTCCGTTAAGAACTAGTGAAACCTTAAATTTTACCATTTTCTTTGTTACAGTGTTATTTTCATCCCCGTTGCTTTTCGATTACGGAGTTCAGGCATGTGTTTATAAACAGGAAAGTAATTTGAAACTATGGACTTGGTTGGATTAATGCATAAAAACGGGTCGAGTTAACCCGTTAATCTTTCCAGGTTTGTGTGTGTGTGTGTGTGTGTGTGTGTGTGAGGAGGAGGGGAGGGTGGATATGAATATCCCAGGTTGCCGAGTGTTTACTGTTGAACCACGGATGATTGTGGTGCAAAAGTGTAGAAATACACCAGATCTATTCAATATCAGTTTTAAAAGCCGTTTATAATGACCGACTTACGTTAAATTTGGTTGGCAAAGTAATCTTTCAGCCAAATGAGCCGAGAAGGAAGAAAACGGAAAGATCGCAGCTTTTCAAGAAGTATAACACAAAATCAAAAGTGACAGAGTAGTCCCGGAAATACAATGAACTTATCTGAGAGAACGGTCTCAATTTTTAAAACCGTGCGGTGGATCAGGGGAGCGATCGCGCCCGGGATATATCCGGCCTTTCATACTAATTCCTACTATGTGTCGGGGACTGCATTGAAAGATGGCAATTGGCTAAGGATAGCCCGTTTCTTTATCTTGAATCCGGATTAGGGCATAGCGATAAGCCGAAAGCATGCTGGATTTGTTCTATGGAATCAGAACAACAGTTATAGGCTTCTATAATAAGCGTGATGTTACGCATGGTTGACGTTTGGCCCCGCCTTTTGTAGTAAGCATTTCCATTTCGTATTCTCAGAGATTTCATACCGGAGAGGTAAGCCTACCGTTATGAAAAATTCCGATCTCAATCCAGAACTGTTTGAATTGTGATGGTGGGAAATTCCTGTTTGTAAAGGTTGACCAAACGACCATAACGCGCAGCGATCTTTTACGAACAGTACTATCATCAGATGGGTTTCTAAGTGACGGCCTGATCATTTCATTTTAGGTAGAATTGCAGTGAGCGAGAATAAGTTTTAGGCTTGAGTAAAATGAGGGTTTGATCGCTACTGGAGACAGGAGCTTTTAGCTGAAATTTCCTCTCTTCTAGTTAGGACGAAATAGATATTCTTTAAACCAAATATAAAAATTAACTAATTGGATTCCTAGGTAAACTCTCCAGTAATTATGCTTGAGCATTCCAAAAGTGCGGGTATCAAAAAAAGTTGAAATGTATCATAGAAAAAAATAACATCCACGTGCAGAAGTAAGCGGGGTATGCATTAATCAGATAACCTTGAAATGTTCACAATTTTAGGCAACACTTGATGTGATTCATCGTCGTGGTTTGCCGATTATCAGTCGTGTCTTTTATACCCGTTGATGATCTATCTAAAACACCGTGTAAACTACACTTGTCCGCGTGTGAAACATTTGCACAGAAAATCTTCTCGGACCCCACGCATCCTTTACATAGCGATCTATCCAAATGCCACTCTCATTCAGCAACGCGTTCTATACAGAAATTCTACGCTTCTATCTCGCTAGAATCCTTGTAAACTGACAGTGTGTCTCTTTTTAATTTCTCTGCAACCTTGGAGGTTAAATGTTTTACTCGTATTATTTCCTTCTTTTGATGAAATGATGTGTAATTTTTTTGACTGAAATCCGGACATCTGTCCATTCAAAGTCTATATAAATACACACACACACATGACAATTATACAACTGAGGAAAAACTAAAGGTAGCCTTATACTTGCGAGATCATTTGGAATTGATGCATATTAAGACCACCATCGCTCTTTTTTCTGCATTGTTTTGTTTCTTCACGACTGCATCGCCAATGTTTTCATTCAGCGATAATTCTTGAGTGCAGAGTAAACAGGTATTCAGGTGAACTTGAGATTGAATGAAATTGAATAATTGCGGTACTTTTGCAAACCTTAAGCCTGTGTTCGTACTGGGGAAAGTAGTAGTTATTGATTTAGACTGGGTCAAGTCTTTGAGTCGAAGAACTCATCATTGGTAAAAAATTGCACCTAGTGTCTTTACTCCTTAAATGGAACAGCGATACGATGATTTCATTGTAACGGTCACCGAACAAAACATTGTAGCACAGCCAATCGTGGGTGCACATTCCTAATTCCGAGTATCAAAAATCGCATATAAATGAATGCCTTCCGCATTCAAACACCGTCTAACAAACTTGATAACGGTCTGACTACACTAAGCTACGCTGTATGCGATCTTGAATCTTTAGACAAGTCACACAGAAGCCTGCATGCGGTTATCCATTTCATGCTATGCTACACAGCTTTCAGTCTTTCAGTCTTTTATTATCCCTTCACAAACACGAGCTGTTGGATCAGATTGGCTAAGCCGGTTTACGTTCTTCGGTGACGAGGAATTCGAATTCGTAATCAGAGATTGACGCAAGTTGTCCCCCATATCAGTAGTGATTCTGTACTGAACCGATCAGTTCCTCTCAAGTCAAGTCAAGACTGGCTTTCCACTGTTCATCTTGCGCTCTCGGTCTCCGGTATAGTGCACGAACTAGTTGAAACCGACTCCCCTGTAGTTCTACTGTATTTGTCGCTTGTGGAACTTCATTATCTCCCCCAATGCTAATCGGCAAATTAGAATATCTGAGGATTATATACTATTTCCCGCTTCTCATTTCCATAGTTAAGAGCGTGACTGAATTCAGCAATCAGAGGCGTTCTCGTGCAGTTCATCAGAGTTTAATTTTCGGTGAATCTGCGCAAGAGACCTCGTACTGGAAGTTTCCGATTCACTGATTAAATATTGGAACGTCGAACTTCTGGTCCGTTCCATTTACGCATATACTTTCACACATTTCCTTTTTTGCTGAACATATTTTCTCGCTGTCTCTCTCTCTCTCTATAGATGACTCATTCGAACAGGTCCGTTTCCGTATCCCTGTTCTGGATGGAGAATTTCGTGGTACCGGAGATCTTTTTGCCGCCCTCACATTAGCCCATCTGGAACGCTCGCGAGACAAGAACGAATCTGTTGGCTCCATGATTGTGAGTTGATTTCTCTCTTTCTCTCCATGTATATGTATGTGTTTATATTTGTCAGTGTGGTCATTGTAGGTTCAGTTCAGTTCAGTTGTTACAACCATTAACCATGCACTTTCGTGCACCGGTTTTGGTTGCTGTCTTTTTGTTGCCCATTTGGATAAAAGAGCGAGATGAAGATTGGAATGTCGAAGCAAATTCAAGCGGAAGATGAGAAATTCATTTAGATTGGTGTTAGGTCATTGTAGTTAGTGGTGTCGCTGTCACAGGCGTACTTTGGATCCTATAGTCCGAGGTTCGAGGCCCGCCACCGCCACCCAACTTTGGTGGTGGACAGCTTTGCTTTCGCTCGGTTCTATACCGTGCCTGACCTAGCTGAGACATTATGTGGTCCCGGGGTTTAAATTACTGGTTTTCACACACCTCTTCGCTGCCTTGCGGGTCAGGCATTGGCTAGCGAAAAGCTCCGGTTGTGGATTCCTCAACAAAATTCACCTGCCTTGACCTGGGCAACCTGGCAATATTCCGCTCACATGCAAATCATGGAACGTTTTTCGTTTCATAAAGATTACTGTACCTTGATTTGTAAGGCCTACAGTCTGGATTCAGACCTGTGTGAAAAATATATGCATATTTGTGAATGAACAACAGTTCCTCGTAACAACGGGGCCTTGCCCGTCAGTTGTTCATCACACAAAAGTGGGTAATAAAGAAAGATGTTAGCACTGTTTTGCCTTTGTACTGACTACCTGTGGTGAACAAGGAGCGAATAGTGTTGGCGGTTAGACTCAGTAGTGTTGTGTGTACTCCATGATTACAAAACTTCCTGTTGAAATGCCGAGGCGTTGTTCGGACAATCACAAGCCCGTCAGTGGATTAGTGCTTGAACATGGACTGATTTCGACTATCGCTCCTTTCCTTTTTTGCTGCCCTTTATTGATTGTGATGATGAAATAGTTACAATCTATTTTCGTGGGGTAGTATGCATTCAACTAAAGGGTTGAACAATAAGATTGGGAAAGCTAAGCGACGGAGTAATGTGAAGACCACTTACACTGCTTGTCCACTGCTACCAGTGTATTTTGTTAAATTTTTCTCCTGTTTGCTTGATTAGGCTTGACAATCTTTCTGACATGACAAACATTATTTGCAGTAAAGGAGTAATCCTCATAATCATAGAGAGGTGGGGAAATATTCATGTAGAACAACTTATCGAAGGATGATGGCGGTGGTGACCAAGTGGTTAGGTCACCAACTAGTGATCTAGGTGTCCCGGGTTCAAACCGCTCGACCGCCGCCCGTCTTCCCAGGCAGCCTTTGTATGGCTGCAGCCCCCCCCCTTCCTGAAAGTTGACTGTAGATTTGTATATTCAATAAATAGACAAAGGAGATAAAAGAGACATTTGTTTTATTTTTAAGAGAGGGGAAAATCAGTAAGGCAGAGTGCACCCCAATTCTGCAGTTCCTAAATAAAAGTGTTAGAAAACCACCGTTTGGTCAGTTTTAGAGTTAAGGTTGCTCCCATATCTCGCGAGAAAATCAAAATCGAAGGGAGACCAAATCGGTAAGCTCCACAAAACAATATCTGTCCTATTAACGGCAGAAAAGAGACAAGGAGGCGAGCGCACGTCAAGTGGTCTAACAATCACCGGTAAGGATGGGCCAACGACAAGGTGACATCGGTTAGGGTCCAAAAGTCTTAAAGAAGAATAGTAGGCACCGCCCTAACAAATATTGCAATAGTCCGGAGTTGGGCGTGTTGGGGGTCTTTGACAGAGTGTGAAACGAAGGATTGAAAAACCGCCGTGAACCGAAAGGGGAGGAAAACTTCCGAGAGACCCGCAATGCAAGCTCAGCAGTTAGAGAAGACCAAAAGATGGAGGAAGATTTTTTTCCAACAGCTTGTAAACGGATTGAAAGAAAAATAAACGGGAGATAGGGGCAAGCTCTGGTTCGCCAGTCTTGAGCACAGTTGGTGGAATGTCATCTGGTAAGGATAACCTAGGTATATCAACCGAACGCATTCCTAGACGGTTACTCCCGGGTGCAACTTGAAGACAAAATCTGGGGCTATGGTGGATAGTCGGCAGGGCAAGAATGGTGGATGCAAGTACGGCAGAATGAAAAGCAAAAATATTTTGAGAGGCCTTTACCTTTTGGGAGTCCTGTGAATAGCAGTGATCTTTACTTAGGGAAATTAACAGGAAACTGTCTTACCAATGATCAGATCGAACGACTCCTGGAAGAACAGTTTGTTATTTTATTAGAATGGAGACAAAATTTTCTCTTCGATTCTCCCAAAGATTGTCGAGTAGTTATTCTGAGTTTTGCATATATCAGCAGGATTTGGGGACAAACGCCAGCACCGACTGCACTGCAACAAGTATTCATAAACGGATCAAGGAAGTGTTGTTCTCGAGGCTTAGAAATAAACATGTGTATGCCTTGGGGAATAGTTTTTACAACATTCATGATTGAAGTGGGCGGGTTGAGAGGAAAAATAATCTCTTCAGGGATGTTGCAGAAGTCAGTCGAGTCAGCGGCAGACTGGCAGTGCCAGAATGTGTTGATTTAAATAATTGTTTGGAAGACAGATGGAGTAAGGCAACTAAAGGTGATCAGATGAACCAAGAAGAGAAAATGGAAATAAATCAAATGAAGGCGAAGATTTGAAAGTTCATTTTGAATAATGGTTTACTGAGACTCTGCTGTAAGGTTAGGAACGAGGGAGGAGAGGGGTCAATCTTGCAAAACCTGAGTGCATCACTGCTCAAAATCGCATATCCCGGTTTGTTATCTATCACTTCTCGCGGTTGAAGATCCCATTGGTTCCTCAATTATGATTATCGTTTAATGAACTTTCTTTGATTCGGCATGCGTGTGTTTGTTTAGTATAACTTTAAAATTTGTTCATCAACCGAGATAAA